AAACGTTTGTGACTAAGAATATGCGGCTCAACACCCAGTTTACCTAATGTCCTTCCATCCTTCGATGTGGTGATTCAGCATAGATATTTGGTAAGGTCCATGGGAAAGGAAAATTGTGGAAAGACGGTGAATGTACCTCTTCGAGACAGAAATCAACGCGGAGATGTCATTCGACCTCCTGAGACAGATTGTATAAGAACACCTCTCAGCTTAAATGCTGCTTTCCTCTTTCTTTCTCACAATAAAACTGTGAAAGATGTCCACCAACTTTGCCACACAACATTTTGTTTCTTATTACATTTGTGTTACTGAATAGCAGAGAAGTTCTAAGCACCGCCTATTAAGGGCATATTTTCGAATTTACAACTATTGCAGCAAAAGATGGAATTGTCAACAAGAAATCCCTATTCTGGACGAGTTCTTCTAAGAAAGACTAGATCATTATCAAGCCCCTTTATTACAAGAAGCATTTATTCAGTTCCTGATAGTAGATTGCCGGATGAGAATGGATACAGATGGGGTAAGCTTGTTCTGGCGCCTTGTGCAAAGGAAGAAACTGATGATATCACGACGGAGATCTGCAGAGAGCATCACCAGACAAAAAGGCGGTACACAAACCATAACGTCGTTTATCCAGAAAAACTGAAAAAGCGTGATGTAAAATTCTGAAAATGCTCACATAGAGGTATTAAATCAAGCATTTTCGTAGTTTTCTTCGCAGATAAGCACCTTAAAGGGCGATCTAAAAACTAGAGACTTGATGTTCCCGAAGGTTCTTGCTCATGCAAATACGTAAAATGAGCGGCTAATTGGGCTCGAAAAGACATCCCAACTTGATTCCAGCAGCGGGACTACATGTGCTTGTTTTGATTACACTTTGGAAGGGGAAAATAGTCCTATCCAACTCTTTAATCCTTTCTTTGCCTGTGAATATTTTTTAATACGGGGTGGATTTTGCCTAGATGAGAAATAGCGATAATAAAAAAGCTAAGAATCATGTCAATCTGGCACTTTAGTCAACTCAAATCGTCAAAAGGCAGCATGTCATGTAATGCGATACTTCTGCAAATGGTAGACAAGCAACGAAAGGCGTTCTGGTCAAAATGTTATAATGAAACTACAATAACTATAAGTATACCGGATTTAGTAGCAGTTATTGTGAGCATCACATTTGCTCCGATTCATAATTGGATAGAATATCATATTTTCTCCAGCAAACTACTTTTACAACTACATTTACATTTACATTACTCCAACAACTACATTTTATGAAGAATTATGATAATAGTGATTCAGACAAGAAAGGAAGCATACTTGCATAGTCACCCATAAGTCGAAATCGTTGTTTCCAGAAAGGGTGGCGATTACCCTTAAGACTTGCTGTATACACATCAGCATAGTGGATGCGAAGACAAGCGTCGTATAAAGTAGCAAACCCTGAAACAGCTGCCTTTCAGAGGTTATGAATAGCCTTGACTTCCACTAATAACTAAATGGTGCTTCAAACATCTTGAGATTATGCCATAGTTGGTGATCAGCGTAATAGCAATCAGCATCTTAGTAGTGAGAAGGTGGACGTGGATGCCGTACGATACCTAACGTTTTTCTGGTAACTTGCAAAAGCAAAAACTGGACTATGAAAAGTGCATGGAGACATCTGTCATT